CTTCAAAGCATGATACCTACAGCTAGCTCTTCTCAATAACTATTTTCTTCTCTCTCTACCCACTCCCTCCCCTGCTTGGAAGTATAGATTGTTACCTGAATTCAGATCTTCTCTACAGTTAAAAAATGGCATATTAGATGGTTAGACTTATCCCTGCTGAAATTGTGTTCAAAGCTAACCGCTCAAACATAAAACATTGTTTATTCACTATACTTGATTTTGGTTTGTTATAATGGGTGGGGTTTTTTAAAATCTAGATACCTTTTATAAGTTCAAAAAGCTACTTTTCAGTTACTAGAGGTACACTAAGAACTGAGCAGAGGAAGTTAAAACACTTTTATTTTTAATTTTACTTTTATATTTAAGCTGGATGGCTCTATAACTGTGCAACTCTTTTCAGATGATAACTAGCTTAAAAAATGTCAGGTGCTAGTGGATATAAATGCACTGAACAGGCTACTTGCTTGAAAGATGCATCAGGAATGGCAAATGAATGAGGCTATTTGTATTTTAGATTTGTTAGAAAGTGGAGCTATGTCTTGTGATGACAATGGGCATAACAAATTGGATTCAAGCCATTTGCTTATTCGCCCTCCTCCCCAACTAGTTCTGCATTGTCCAACATTTGCTTAATATGTATTTGTAAGTCAGACTAGATTACATTTAAAAAAAAATGAATACACAAAAAATTCTTATATAGCACCCCCTAATCTGTCTTGAATGTTTCCTCCCCGCACCTGTCTTAAATGTTTGCTCCTAGTTATAAAAAGTTGTCATGCAAATGTTACGACTAGTCAGACAAAATGCTCAACAAGGAGTTAATATTAGAGCTGATAAAGCACGTGAACTTTCCAGTAGTCACTCCCTCTTTTCTTTTTGTTGCATTCAAGCATGGTACAAGTTCCACTAAAGTAAATAAATTTCTTGCTTAAAAGGTCAGAGGAAGAGCTGTGTCAGTACTATTTTACTTCCACTTTAAATCACATATTAGTGCTATATGATCAGAAGGATGTGAAACACTTGGTAAGGCCTGATGGGTAGTAACTTCTTCATGACTTGGCAATGGAATTACTTGTTCTACCTCTAGAGCATGTGCATCAATGAAAATGTAGTCCAGGCAGCCGTGAAACCCACCAACATAGTTTGTATATGCAGGTTCTCCACAAGCACTTTGTAGTTTGAAAGGGTGGGTTAAAGACATGCTGCACTTTTCTTCTTCGCCATTAGAGACCCAATCTTCATGATGTTCATCAATACTGCCACTGCTAACAAAATGATACAGTCCAGTTGATGGGGTACTGTTAAAATCCCCACAAAATATGATTGGTATACCAGGATACAGCTCACATGCTACGTGCCTAATGTGAGACAAGGCTACAGCAGCTTGGATGAGACGAATGTTTCCACCTAAGAACATAAAAACACATTACTTGTATACTTGTTCAGTAGTCTCAAAGGATTTTTCTCTTAAGATGCTGATTTAAGGTTTGCCTACACATGAAATCATTCAGGACAACCTTCAATAAATGTTATGACTAGGGCAAGATGTTTTAAGCCTGGTCCATGATTGAGGGGACTAGGAACATTTAAATACACCCTCTCCCTGTTTTCCTTTAAATGGGAATGAAGCTTGTTTGAAAAGAGGCTACTTTCATATTTGCTCAGTCAGTTCCCTGGCTCCAAGGGAACTCTATCACTGCTTCATAGCCATCCAAATGGCTCCTTTCTACCCCATGTCCTCTAGGAACACCTGGAGATCAGGGCACCTCTCCTGAGCCTGACACTTGACTCTTCTGCTTGGCTATCTACCCCACAATGCAACCTTACCAATTCCAGTGAGGATGGGGATGCTATACTCTGTGACTCCAGCTATATTAACAAATCATGGTTTGAGGGGCTTGCCTATAAGAGCTGTATGCTAAACATAACCAGGCAGATTCTCACTATGACACAATCCCCTGTATGCTGGCACATTAGTCGTACTTTCCTTCTGAGAAGAAACAAGATAGTAAAGCCCTTGCTTCCAATAATGAGAGTTGGGGAGACAGGATCAGGACTAGAAAGGTTTAGCTGACCTGATCATATACTTATGGCTACAGTAGCAAAATTACCTTTTGGATGCCAGTACAAGTGAGTGTTGGCTACGCAAATCATCCTGGAAGGCTCATTTGTAGACTGAAGAACCGAAACCTACATAAGACAATGAATGCTCTTATACAAAATATTAAAGTCAGAATAGAACTAGCAGACCTCCAAAAGATTTATGTAAAAACACAAGCCAAAGCATTTTAATGCAGTTAAAAAGAAAAAGAATCATCTGCAAGAGATCTTGTTCTAATGTTTTCCCCAACTCTTCATTTGGTTGTTCCTTTCCAGTCTTTTGTCCTGCCCCACCTTGCAAGAATAGTGGAGTCCTTTCTTTGCACTCTGAAAAAGCCAGTATTGCACTAGTCTGTATTTGAGAAGTTGATCCAAGCACTTATTAAAAAAGTTTAGTGTCACGCATAAGAGAAAGTTTACTAGTCACACTATCTCTAGATGAGTGGCTTTTTCATTACCACAGTTACTAGAACACCAAACTAAGGTTTTGCTTGTGGAAATACTTATATTTGCACTCACCTGGAAACAGAGGACATGAAAAATAAGACAAAAGTTAAGAAGTAGGATTGGGGCTTACTGTCTCTAGTATTGCTAAAACAGGCACAGGTAATTATTTCAGGTGGATAGCCGCTTAAGGAGTTTTGGTGAGCTGTCAAGGGCTGCATGGGTAGCCCCTCCCCTTGACAGTTGCCTCACCCCTATCTTGTGACTAGAAATCCCACCCCCTAGCCCTTGCCCCCTGGAAATACTCCTTTTGGGAGGAGGGGTTGCCATCTTAGAACCAGAAAAAAAGCCAAATCATACACTAAAAGTCAAATACCTACTATAACATTTTAATTTTATTACAAAAAATATTTTTGTCATGATTTGGGTTTGTATACTGTATGCAGAGGTGCACATAACTCAAAAATAATTTCTTAAGTCTTGTATACTGTGTGTGTGTGTGTAGTGGGGGGTGTATGGTAGGGTGGGGAGGTTTGGGAGTGTTTATGAGGGGATG